TCCCTTCTTTCATAGTTTTAAGTTCACTTTCATAAATGAAAAATTGTAAAATTCTGAAGTTTTCTAAAACCTACAATAAAATTGTGAAATTCCAAGTCATGACCATTCTAGACTTCTCTCACTTAGAATGAGGATTTTCTCATTCTTGATTCTTCTTTGAATCTTCCCCTATGCCAGAGAATGTTACTTACTGATTAGCGTTTCAAACAGTTGAATTGGAGTCTTTCACCAGATCTGAATTTCAAGTAATTTCTTTCATTGCTATACTAACTTGTTCTGCATAAACCAGTAATAGTGGTCATACCTATTCTTCCACAATAATTTCTCTGAGACTGACTTTAAAGATGAGCCATGTTTTTTACAGTGACTGTTTATAGGCCATATCTAAACCTGGAGAAATCCAGGTTTTTTTAATAATCTGCCAGTATTTTCAAACAACCTGAAGGCTATGTGACAAGCTGCATTTTTTCTTTTTGTTTTTTGAGACAGAGTAATACTCTCACCCAGGCTGGAGTACAGTGGCACGATCTTGGTTCACTGCAACCTCTGCCTCCCACATTCAAGAGGTTTAAGCAATTCTCATGCCTCAGCCTCCTGAGTAGCTGAGTTTACAGGTGTGTGCCACCATGCCTGGCTAATTTTTTTTGTATTTTTAGTAGAGATGGGGTTTCTGCCTGTTGGCCAGGCGGGTCTCAAACTCCTGACTGCTGACCTCAAGTAATCCGCCCACCTTGGCAGCCACCGCATCCGGCCCAGGCTACATTTCTTATAAAAATAATAGGGTCTCTTCACACTTTTTATGTGTCTGAATGGATATATTATTTTTTGACAGCCTATTACTAGTTCTCCGCCCAAATGGATGGCTGAGATAGAACGTGATGACATCGACATGTTGAAAGGTAAGTGATGCTGGTTACACTTTTAACTGGGTATTTATGTTTTTCCATAAACCACCTCTCCATTTTTTTTCCGTTTCCTTACAAGTATTTTTGACTTCAGACTTCTCATTTAAACTTCCTTATTTGTAGTTTTTCATGTCTGTAATGCCCTTCTCTACCTTTTCCATGTGTAGAAATCCTGCCAATTCAAGACTCAGTCTTAGTGAATTCTGCTGCTGCTGCTAAATTCTTCTAATGTGAACTTAATTTTGTACAATACAGTTAACAAATAGCTCTAACATAAATTTTTTGATTTAATTCCCATAAAGGTCCTGTGAGTTGGGTATGATTATATTCAAAGTTCATAAGTTAACCAAGATAGAATGAGTTAAAATTTGGCTGGGCGTGGCTTACGCCTGTAATCCCAGCACTTTGGGAGGCCGAGGCGGGCGGATCACCTGAGGTCAGAAGTTTGAGACCAGACTGACCAACATAACGAAACCATGTCTCTACTAAAAACACAAAAATCAACCAGACATGGTGGCAAGCTTCTGTAATCCCAGCCACTCTGGAGGCTGAGGCAGGAGAATCACTTGAACCTAGAAGATGGAGGTTGTGGTGAGCAATTGTTCCACTGCACTGCAGCCTGGCTGACAGAGTAAGACTCTATCTCAAAAAAAAAAAAAAAGTTAAAAAATTTTAACTCTGATTTTTTTTTTTTTTCAGACGGAGTCTCGTTCTTGTTGCCCAGGCTGGAATGCAGTGGTGCGATCTCGGCTCACTGCAGCCTCTGCCTCCCGGGTTCAAGCGATTCTCCTGCCTCAGTCTCCTGAGTAGCTGGAACTACAGGCACCCCCTACCACACCCGGCTAATTTTTGTATTTTTGGTAGAGATGGGGTTTCACCATATTGGCCAGGCTGGTCTCGAATTCCTGACCTCCAATGATCCACCCACCTCGGCCTCCCAGAGTGCTGGGATTACAGGTGTGAGCCACCACGCCCAGCGTAAACTGTGCTCTTTTAAGTCTAGTCTCTTTCCAGTATAACACAAGTGCCTTATTTAGAATTTACTGCCATATATTGTCAGTACTATTAAATGACAACCTCTTAGTGGGTTAAGACCTATTTTTTATTTTTTTATCCCATCAATTTCTTCTATAAAGAATATTGTAAGTAGTGAATATTGTTGTTTGATAAATGATTTGAAACTCAATCACAAAGTGGAAATTTAAATTAAAAAACATTAATTTTCCATGATTTTTGCCCTACTTTATTTATTTTATCATCCTTCTGGTGATAAGAATCATGATGATTGTGAAGTAATAGACTGAAATTAAGGTAAAAACCTGGGATTCTTGAGGTATTTAAACAGCTGAACATATCAAGAAAGTCTACTTATGCTAGGTGTAGATAATGACTGTGGCATGATAAATGAGATTTAAAAAAACACCTTTATTTGGTTTTAGAAGTAATTCATTGTTCTTCATGAAATGCTTAAATGCAGATTCCCTCCTCCTGCCATGGAAAAATTAAGTCTCAAGGGCATCTCAGGTTCATTCTTCTAATGTTTCAAACAGACATTTTTATAATATCTCATCAGCATGTATTTCTTAAGGCAACTGTAAATTTTTAGTGAGGGATCATAGCATTATATTCTATGCAAACTGACCTGTGTCTTAAACCTAAAAGGAATTGGGTGCTGTTTAAATAAAAATTCAGGAAAGAAAATGTTTAAATATTGTCTTTGTGTGTGTGTGTGAGTGTGTGTGTGCAGGAGACTGGAGTTTTTTTTTATTACTCAGTCTCCCTGAGAATTTGGGGATCAGAGTTTTTAAGGATAATTTGGTGGGCTGGGGGGACAGTGAGTTGCTAGTGCTGATTGATTGGGCCGGAGATGAAATCACAGGGAGTCAGAACTGTCCTCTTGTGCTGAGTCAGTTCCTGGGTGGGGGCCACAAGATCAGATGAACCAGTTTATTGATCTGGGTGGTACGAACTGATCCATCAAATGCAAGGCCTGCAAAATATCTCAAGCACAGAAACACCCAATAGTGAAACCACCACTGCAGAAGTGTAACTGTGATGGTGAAAGAGATCTGACCTAAGCAACTCCCATTTGCTCCTAACCTCCAACAGTATGCTGTCTTTTTACTTAGTAAACTTAAAGATTTTTATAGGAATTTGGTTTGAAGGGAAAGTTTAAATTTTTATTTAGTCTTTGTTTTCTAAACTTAGGGAAATGGGGAATAGTAAGTTTTGTTGCCACTTTATTATAAGTCGAAATAATGTGGACTTACAATTAACAGTGGAGACAATATCCGTTTTGTCAGATCAGATATGTCTTCAAGTCTTTCTTAATGCTTTATCAAAAGACAAGGTTTTACATTTTAATGACGTATTCCAAACGAATGTTATAAATAATGTTTCCTGAAGATGAAACACTTGTTATTTTATTATTTTTTCTTGTTTTATTTGAGAAAGGGTCTCCCTCTGTCACCCAGACTGTAGTGCGGTGGTACCATCATGGCTCACTGCAGCCTTGACCTCCTGGTGATCCTCCCACCCCAGCCTCCTGAGTAGCTGGGACTACAGGCATACACCACCATACCCAGCTAATTTTATTTTATTTTATTTTATTTTGAGACGGAATCTGTCTTTGTTGCCTAGGCTGGAGTGCAGTGGTATAATCTCAGCTGTCTGCAGCCTTTGCTTCCTGGGTTAAAGTGATTCTCCTGTTTCAGCCTTCTGAGTAGCTGGAACTACAGGCGCCTGCCACCACACCCAGCTAATCCTTATATTTTTAGTAGAGACAGGGTTTCGCCAGGTTGGCCAGGCTGGTCTCAAACCCCTAACCTCAGGTGATCTGCCCGCCTTGGCCTCCCAAAGTGCCAGGATTACAGGTGTGAGCCACCATGCCTGGCTGAATTTTTGTATTATTTTTATACAGGTGAGGTATCATGTTGCCCAGGCTGGTCTTGAACTCCTGGGCTCAAGCGATCCTCTTGCCTTAGCCTCCCAAGTAGCTGGGACTGCAGGCATGTGCCACTGTGCCCGGCTAATTCTGTTTTTATGCAAATTCGTTTATTTTTAAGTGGGTAAGCTTATCTGAGGAATTTTGCCATAGTGGGAAAATTCCCTGATTTGTGTGTGTGTGTGTGTGTGTGTGTGTGTGTGTGTGTGTAAGATTGGGGGAGGAGTTACGGATCCATTTTCTACTTATTCAGTGGTAATTACGCTCGAAAACTTGTATAACAAGAGTTCCCAACCCAAATAAGTTGCTACTAGAGAAGAGTGGAAAGAAATGATGTTGAAATAAATGATTCTGTTTCAGAACTGGGGAGTCTCACCACAGCTAATTTGATGGAGAAGGTACGAGGCCTACAGAACTTAGCCTATCAGCTGGGGCTGGATGAGTGTGAGTACTCCAATCGCATTTGTTCAGGGTTACATGCTGTGTATTATCACCGTGAGCTCCAGTTATAATTCAGAAAGTATATTAGGGAAAAGAGAAGCGTTCTGAAGGTAAGAAGTCAATCTAATTCATTGACTTTTTATGGTGGAGTGTGGTGGAATAATTACTGGATTTACTAGGTAACAAATGATTTTTCTTTATACAGTAAAACTATATTGAAATCCCTTCAGGTTATTATCTCATTTTTAAATAGACAAGAGTCTTACTATGTTGCACAGGCTGATCTTCAACTCCTGGGCTCAAGTGATCCTCCTACCTTAGCCTCTGAAGTAGCTGGGACTACAAGCATGTACCATCGTGCCTGGGTAATTATAGAATTTTTTTGTAGAGACAGAGTCTCACTATATTGCCCAGGCTGGTCTTGAACTCTTGGGTTTAAGTGATCTTCTTGCCTCAGCCTTCCAAAGTGCTGGGATTATAGGCATGAACCACCGTGCCCAAATAGCATTTTACTTTACAAATAAATTTAAGGCTGGCCATAGTGGCTCATACCTGTAATCCCAGCTACTTAGGAGGCTGAGGATGGAGAATCACTTGAAACTGGGAGGCAGAGGTTGCAGTGAGCCAAGATCATGCCACTGCACTCCAGCCTGGGCGACAGA